GGGGCAAGCGAGGCCAGGCGCGCCCTGCGCCTGGCCACTGCGTCGTGCCTCCGCGTCTGTGCCCGAGCATCCTGGAACAGTTCAACCATCTTTGTGCTTTGTTGGACTGCACGGACGGCTCTTTCCTCTGTATTTGCCGTCGATGCGGTTTTTACAGCACAGGCGGCCGCGTCAAGAAGCTGGGTGAACCCTGCACCTGTAAGAAGTCAGGGGCAGGACTTACGGCCTGGAACTATGTTACCCAGGGCCGACACCCACAGCAGCTCAAGAGGGAGAAGACCGTACAGTTTTTGCCCTCTCCCTGGACTGCGCTGTGAGGAGAGGTGGTCCCCACTGGATGGGGGCCAAGCAGAGGTCGAGCGTGAAACAAACATTCCTCTCCTCCTCGCCCTCTTGCTCTTCCTCCTCCTCCTCCCCCATCCTCCTTCTCCTCCTCCACCTCCTCCACCTACTCCGCCTCCTCCATCCTCCTCCCTCCGCCCCCCTCCCTCCTCGCTCCTCCCTCCTCCCTCCTCCAACCTCCCTCCTTCCCTCCTCCCTCCTCCAACCTCCCCCTCTTCCCCCCTCCCTTCTCCCACCTCCCTCATCCCCCTCCTCTCCCTCTCCCTCCTCCCTCCTCGGTCCTCCCTCCTCCGTCCTCCCTCCTGATGTCAGCCCCCCTCCTCCCTCGAGGCTCCTCCAGGAGGGGGGGCGCCGGGGCGGGCGAAGAGGAAAAGAGGAGGAAGGCAAGAGGAATGATGATGGAGGACCAGGAGGCCGCGGTGAGGACATGCGAGAAGATATGAAAACACACTGTGAAAAAAAGCCGGAGCCCGCAGCAAAAGGCAGATGTCGGGAGCCTGGAGACGGGGGTCAATGCAAACGGGGGTCAGCCAGGGCACCAGATCCTGCATTATCCTGCGAAGACCCCCTCTGGCTGACATGTGTTAGCGAGCCGCTCGTGGCCGCGAGGCGGCCGCGCATATTGGCAAACCCCGGTTGGAGAAGACCTGCGTTGCATTTTTTGTTCCTGCATTGCAGTTTTTGGTTTCCTGCTGACCCGGGTCTGGATTGACCCGGGTCAGAAGATCCCCGAATATGGAATGCGCAGGAGGCCACAGCGCAGGCACCAGCGCGAGCCACAACCCCAAGATTGCGAACCACAGCCTCACGAATCGAGCTTACAAATCAATCTGGGCGACTACCTCTGAGGGAAAACCCTGCGACACACCCGTTAGACCTCGAACAATCCTCCGAGACGCATCTCAAACGACCCTCATATGCATCGAAGAGGTAAGAGGCATCGAAGAGGCTTTTTACCCCAAGATTGCGAGCCACAACCTCACGAATGGAGCTTTTGTGCAATGTGTCTGGGATTGTCTTGAGGAGCTCCCGTGCTGCGGTTCATCCAAAGATTTGAGAGCCGCCGACTGAATCGATTGATCCTCAACAGTTGCACACTGCGCGTTGGATCTGCAAACCGGAAAATCAGCCCGATAAAGAACATCCCGTTCTGTGATGATGATTGTATTTGGTATGCTAGGGCTTGTTAGCGATGGCTATTTCGAGTCGAAGGCGACATGCACGTTTTTCTGTCTTGTGAGTCGGTCGATGCTGATTAAAGTTGCGCATGTTTCTTTGAATGCGCCAAATCGTACAACCAACACCGCTGACGCACCATTGTGTCCTAGGATCACTATCGGGACGTCCTTGTGTCGTAAACGCATCACGTTGTGTCCTGATGCGCTTACTCCACCCGTCCCTTGGGAAGGGATAAGAGGAATATGAGGAGCAACGTTGTCATTGCATACATGGTCAAACGTGCCACAGTCCATCAATACCTGAAACTGCGGATTGCGCTGCGATCTCTCCGATGCATTGCCCCACGGTGCGATGAACACGTTTTCGCCGCGCTGTCCGCTGGTCCCAGCGCGCGTCAGCGCCGAGAAGGACAACGTTGCCAGCGCCATACGCCACATGAGTTTGCACACGACTGAGACAGGAAAACGGGTCACATCACAGAAAAAAAGTTTCCCCGACCCCCCGAATCCACGAACACGTGACGTTATGATCGGTTTCATTGTGGGTTGTCGAATCGTCGCAGGACATGTCAAATCATTGGGGGCACTCGAAGAACTCAACCTCTGAATCCTCGCTCGCGGGGTCTGTCCGAAAGCCCGCTGCCACACCCTGTGTGCGCTTGGCCTCGCTAGCGGGTTCACTCTGAGAGCCCACTGAAACAGTTTCCACGAACCTAACTCGGTCAGCTTTCACTTCTGTAGCCCCGCATTCGATGTGAAAGCGCGCCCTCGCCTCTTGGCAGCAAGGCGCTCGCGGGTTTCAATGCCGCAAACTCCTCAGGGGAGTGCTGGGGGCGTGAACTCCAATCTGCCTCGTCTTGTTTGACTCCTGCGCCCTGGTGCACGCCGCCCTGCTCGCCCCCAGATCAACTGGGGCCCCGCGAGTTCTGATCCCAGGCCTGCTCGTTGAAGTGGCTTCATTTTCCTGGCCGCTGTTTCCCTTTGCCGTTGAACCGGCACCATGATGTCCAGTGATTCTTCACCCTGCAAATGTCGCGCAATTCATTTGCGGTCGGAGTCCACCCACTCGTGCCTCCAGGGTTCGGCTGATCCTTCCATTCGTCTTTGGTCATGTTGGTGCCAGCCCGGAGGCTGGGCGGAGGAACCCTGTCCTCGCCAGGAGGATGGTGGGTGTCCACGGCCAGGCCAAGATCCTTGGGAACTTCTTTTCGGTGTGCCTTGGGGGGATCATTTTTGGAGAGCCTTTTGGTCACTCTTTGAGGATCCTTTCGGAAAGCCTTTTGGGGTACCTTTCGGGAAGCCTTTGGGGGTGCTTTTCGGAGAACCCTTCAAGGCATCTACTGCCATGGGCTTAGTGCCGTTACCTTTTCTGCCTTATGGTTTTTTCCAGACACGTTTGCTTCCCACGTACTTGTGTATATCTCGTTTGGGATCTTCGCAGGTCTCGCACAAATTACCTTTCAATTCGAAATGTGTTTTCATTGGTTCCAGGATCGTCTTCATGACCACGCTAACAATCACATCATATGCTAGCTAGGCTGGGGAAACTGAATCATTTCGGGGGGCAGCAATTCCATCTCCTCGAAGCGCTCAAGAACCTCTGCGAGGGAGGCGCCCGCGAAACTAAAGCCCATGACTGCATTCAGAACCCCTCTTTCCGTTTGTTTGTCTTTGTGTTCATATTTGAGGCACATCCTACGCACCATTTCAAGACCATTTCTTTTCTCGATGTTCCTACATACGTTCGTCATCTCTCCATTCACAACCCCTTTTGCAATGTAGGCTCGGTTCGCAGAATGTTGCTTTACATCTTCTGTAGCTGCTAGTGTGATGGGGTTCGCATGGTCTCGTGCACGTTCCATGGTCGGCAGCACTACTTGGCTCACAGCTCCAGAATAGGATTCGAAACGAGAACGCAAATCGTTCCATTCGTTTTTCGGAAAATATGTGAGACCTCGTCCTAACAGTTTTGTGTCTATCACTGATGTCATCGTTTCTACGTCTTCCCAGAGCCCTGCTTAGGTTGGGGATTCCTACACTGCCCTGTGCCTTCCCAGAGCCCTACTTGGAGTTGGGGATGCAATTTTCCTCCGAGGATGTTTCACCACAGCTCCGCCGCCATAAAAACTAAGCGGACGATTTCGAGATGGAGAAATTGGTCTTGGGCTCGAGGCTCAAGCCGGCTGTGGTGCGCACAAGGGATTGTTACACCTCTTCTTCTTCCCCCCTCCTGACCCAGACACCAATCCCAAGTACCACTGACCCGTGTGGTCTTGGTGGCCCCATGGAGTCACCAGGCCCCTGTTTTGCGTTTGCCTATGAGCCTCGCGAATCACAGCAGGTTTTCGGCACGTAGGTGGTTGTAGGGGTCAGGGAGGTTCTAGGGGGGCTGAATGGGATCCAGGAGGGTTCGTAGGGGCTTGAGGATGTTAGGAGGGGCGTTCGGGGCTTCAAGGGGGCCTTAGGGGCCAGGGTGATTCAAGCGGCCAGAGGCTACATTCGCTCACTGTACCCATCCTTGACTCAGTAGCCGCAGCGCATGAGCGCAAACTTTACTTGGGCCAGGACTTTGAGCAGCAGGAGGAAACGGATCCGACCCAACGATCTCGCAAAGAAAGCAGGAGGAGGAAGGCATGTTGCCCCCCACCACATGATGTGGGTAAAAGGCACGGCATAGTGGCGCACCTGGTGGGTTGCGCCACTCGCACCTGTTGGGGGCAGCCATCCCGCCGGGGCTTTTGGCGAGATGCTACTATGTCCTTCCCTCCCTCATCCTCTGTGTCTCTCTGTCTCTCTCTCTCTCTCTCGTTCTTTCCCTATTGCTGTTGTTCAGTATCCCTGGATGTGTATATATACATATATATAGATGTGTTGATGTATACATGTGTAACGGTGTGCTTCGCGTCTGTATGTGTCTATATCCCTCCTTCCCTCCCTTTAGAATTACATGCATGTGTCTGTCTATATAGAATTCGAATTCGAACCACCCCACATCTATTTATATATATACATATCTATATACACACAACACAGTACACATACACATACGATACGTGCTGGGTATCTACTTGTGTGTAAGTATATGTCTGCATATCCCCTCCCTCCCTGTCTTTCTCTCTCAGACAGTTATTTTTTCTTTCTCTCTCTCTATATATATATATGACTCATTATCTCTGTTTCTCACATGGTTTGACACGTTTCTCTAGTACAGTGTCTCTTTTTTTTTTCTCTTTCTCTCTCTCTCTCTCATTTGTTTTCTCTGTCTCTCTAGTAACTCTAGTTCTCTCTCTCTCTCTCTCGCGCTCTCTCTCTCTCTACCTCTCTCTCTCTGCGTCTCTCTATTATCCATGCCTCTTTCTCTGAGTGTTTTCCTCCTCGTGTGCCCCTGAACGCGTTGGGTTTATAAAGATGCTTCAGCTCGCGCGTACGTTGCAAGGCATGCGGGCTGCTGTCTCTGTTCCTGGACCCTCCCCACCGGAGGTGGCTTCGGTCTTGTCCGACCAGGACTGACCCGGCGCCGCCCTGCCCAGTAGAGACTACGCGTTCGTGTCACGACCAGTAGTCCATCTCTCTGGGTCGGAGCGTGTCGGGCCTCGGAAGGCTCTACGGTGTGCTCGGATTCAGGATGCTTTGGGTAGGGTACCGATTGCTTGGAGGTGACATCCTGGGCTTGCTGATGCGTAGGAGTCGCCCCCACCGCACCTATGGAAGAGGTTGAACCCAAGCGCGCCGCGCATCCTGCTGGCCCAGAGTGCAGGAAAGAAGCAGGCCCATGAGAGGCAGGACGGGAAGGCGCGAATTGAGATTGGAGGATCACATTGCTCCAGGAAGCCAAGACATGCGTTTACCATGGTCCGTTATTGTTACTCACGATTTAATGTTGGTACCTTACTTTATTACCATACCGTAGATATAGTACCTTACTTTATTACCATACCGTAGTTATAGTATTTTTTATGTTGCTCCGTTGTTGTGCATATATGTCCATACCGTAGTTATAGTACCTTACTGTATTACCTCATTTTGACCGGTCCTGATAGCGCTTCTCCTGTCGCAGTGAGCGACCGCATAACCTTGAACACAAGCGTGAAGCTGCTCGTGATATGCTCACGAAGTTTGTCAACCGAAGAGAAGGTACAGTGATAGTGGGCATCATCCGTTCTGTTGCATCTGTCCCAAAAGTTGGTGCCTTTTGGGGGGCCCGACGCGTGCTCGATGCGGACTCGACGCGGATTCGGCGTGGATTCGACGCGGATTCGACACGGATTCGACACGGATCCGATGCGTCCGACATGGATTCGACACGGATTCGATGCGGACAGGGCCGCGACGGGACAGACAAGGTCCCCCGCGGATGCAACATAACATCCGAACGCCCGTTCCTGAAAGCGTAGGGTAAGACATGGCGTGATAGGGAGGTTATTGTAGAGGCTTCCGGCCTGTGCCGCGGATCCGTGCCGTTCCGGGGCGCTCCGTGCGCGCTCGTCTTGTTCCATGGTTCGTGAGTTCTGCTTCGGGGAGAAAGGAGGGAGGATGAGAAGGAGGGAGGAGCTTGGCATCGCTCGGACGTGTGCATTTTTCCTTCGGCGAGGACCATTGAGGAGCATCCTTGATCATTCGGCGAAAGAAACACGCACGAAACCGAAAAAAACACAAGAAATGGACGTCCGAGCGATGGCCAGGGATGAGGAAGGGGAAAAGGAGGAGGAGGGTCAGGAGCGTTTTGGCAGTCGTCTTGGGCAGTATGTGTTGAATGGAATGTTGGCGTCGTGTCCGTCGGTCGAACATGTTGGCGGGCTAGTTCCTGGACGGGTTGGCCCGTTGGTGGGTCGCTTGGCGGGTCGTAGCGTTCCCTCCGGTCGATTCCCATGTTATATTACCGAAGACGCCTACGGCAACTTGCCGCACCTTGCCTTTGTGGAATCGCTCGCGTGGCCGAGGGTTGTGGCAAGAGCTCTGCCAAGCTAGCGGACCATGTGTTTCTCCCAGCCGTTGTGGAAACCCTTCGGGGAACACTTGGGAGATGATGGAGGGGAAGATCGGGAGGAGGAGGAGGAGGAGGAGGAGGAGGAGGAGGAGGAGGAGGAGGAGGAGGAGGAGGAAAAGGGGGAATCTTGGGAGCCTCTGGGGGCACTCTTGGAGCCTCCTGGGAGCTTCATGGGAGCCTCTTGGAGATTTCGGCCTTTTCGGGCCTCCTGGAGGCCCTCTTGGGGTCCTCTTGGGACGTCTTGGAGGCCTCTTACGGGGCCTCTTGGGCCATCGTGAGGCCAGCTTGGACCGTCGTGGTGGCTCCCAAATGAGCCGAAGGGTACCAGATCCTTCACCCCCTGTTGATTTATCACAGGGGTGCCTGGCGTGCTGAACCCTACCATTCTTGGTTTTTGCTGTTGTTCCAAGAGGGTTCCCCTTGGGGCTTCGGCGCGCGCCACCGGCCACTCGGAAGGCCGCACAAACCGCCGAACGAAACGGCCCAATCGCCTCCAAGACAGCCAAGATGGCCCAAGCTGGCCTCCAAGTTCGCCTCAGATGGTCCAAGATGGCCTCCCATATGGCCCGAGAGGGTCCGAGATGCCTCCAAGTCTGCCCACGAGGGCCTCTGGGGGACCTCTTGGGGCTTCCTGGGGGCCTCTTGGGGCGGACGGCTCGAACGAATCGTCGGTTCATGCTCCCCCCTCTTGCGGTCCTCCTGGGACGTATTGGTTGGACGCCTCCCTCTCGGCCCGTCGTTGGTTTTGGGGGTTGTCTTGGGGCGGTGTCGGGGGCCTCCTCCTCCTCCTCCTCCTCCTCCTGCCTCTTGGGCCGTCTAGGAGCGTCGGACGCTCGAACACGCGAGAACCTGAAACCAGACAGAAACTGTCCAGGAAATCAGCGATGTGTGCCTCTTGGGGCCCCTTGGGGCCCTCTTGGTTGGGGGGGCCCTCTTGGCGAGCCGTTGCGGCCTCTTGGGAGCCTCTTGGTCCGTCTTGGAGCCATCTTGGGCGTGTAGGAGCTCTCTTGGGCCGCCTCTGCGGCCTTTGTCGGCTGAGGAGCCTCGGCCACCAAAGAAGCAAACCGCTCGGGACATCCCCCAATCGGGGCCCCTTGGGTGCCGAAGCCAGCGCCTTGTTTGAGACATCCGTACGATCTGCGTTGAGAGCCGGGGGGTCTTAGCCACCAAGCAGGCAAACTGCCCAAGCCGTCCCCACAATCTGGGCCCCTTCAGCGTGCTGAAGCCAGCAACTCAGCGGAGGCATCTTCACAGTCTGCTCTGAAAGCAGAGGATGCTGGGCCACCAACCTCAGAGCCCCGAATCATCAGGGGTAACTCGGGTCAGGGTTAACTCGGGTTCGTTTTTCGGGAATCCGAATCCGAGTTACCCCGGACCCGAGTTACCCTGGATAATTCGGGCGTCCAGAGCCCCGAATCATCAGGGGTAACTCGGGTCAGGGCTAACTCGGGTTGGTTTTTCGGGATTCCGAACCCGACTTACCCCGGACCCGAGTTACCCCGGATAATTCGGGCGCCCAATAGCCAGGCCAACCGCCCGAGGCATCCCCGCAATCGGGGCGCGACCATCCTGGAGTGGCCCCACCCCCTGGCGGCTCCCGCGCGGGAGGGTCGACGCCAGCGCCTCGCCTGGGGCATCTCGCAGTCTGCTCCGGAAGCAGAAGATTCAGGAGGGAAAGAAACCCACAGACACAATGAATCGTCGACTCCCAGGAAGATATGGGAACAGATGGGAAGTGGGGGGAAGACAAAAACCAAGAACATATGGGAAACTATGGGGGGATCCTGTTATTTGGGTGTATTTTTTGTGTGTCCCAGGGCCCCTTCAAAGATGCTGGGCCACCGGACAGGCAAGCCGCTTGAGACCCCCCCTCCATCTGGACGCGATTCCTGGAGCGGTTCCACCTCTGGCGGCTTCTCTTCGGGAGCCGCGAAACCAGCGCCTCGCCCGAGACATCCTCACACACTGCACTGAAAGCATAAGGTACTGGGCCACCAAACAAGCAAGCCGCCTGAGACGTCCCTACGATCGGGGTGCGAATCCTGAAGTGTCCCCACCCATGGCGGCTCCCCTTTGGAAGCGTTGAAACCAGCGAGGCGTGCCAAGGATATTTTGCAATGTGGAGCGTGAGTGATTCTGAGTATGAGTGGGTCTAGGGAAGGGAGTGGTGTGACTGAGTCTGAGGGAAACAATGCGAGTCTGAGTATGAGTGAGTCTGAGTATTGGCGATTCCGAGTAAGAGTGAGTCCTGAGTGTGATTTGAGTGGGGGAGGAGAGGAAGTGGAATGATGTGAGTATGAGTTGGGCGTGAGTGTTTGAGTATGAGAGAGTCAGAGGAGGATCAGAGTATGTGGGTGATCTGAGTAAGGAAGACGAGGAGGAGGAGGAGGAGGAGGAGGAGGACGGAGAAGGAGGTCCAGAGGCGTCTAAGGAACAACACGACCCCCATCTCAGGATATGGACAAAAAGGCAGCAGCAGAAGCAGGATAAGAAGGAAGAGGTGGATCCTCAGTGGCCAGACGCTTCGGCAGGTGTAGCCCTGAGGAGCGACACCGCAGTCCTCAGTGTGGGCACTCCCCTTGCATGTGCCCCCGCAAGAATGTCCCTGGCCCACGGTGTCTCCCGCTCTCGGGCCGTTTTGGAGCATGGGGTGTTTTTCTGAATTTCTGAACTAGGCTTCCCCTGGGCCGTTTGAAAAGCCACCAGGCCCTCCCAGGCAGCCTTGGGGGATCCGAGGGCCAAAGCCACATGTGCAGTCGGTACGAGAGACCAGCCCTGGTCTGAAAAGGGTGCCCTTGTCCATTGTCTCCATGCTGTCTGAGTGGTTTGTTGCACAAGTTTGCGAAGGGCACCAACTACTTCTTCTTGAGAGATGGCTCCACGTACTTAGACTGTGAGACTCGGGGGTGGACAGAACCCCCAACAGTGACACGTCGATTCGTGAATTGTCCGTTTTCGGTTCTCGAGATGGCGCCGTGGTCGTTATTTTCCAGGCTTGCGCCCGCCAGTTTTGGGCCTCAGGTCGTTTTCACTAAACCACGTTTTACTAGAGGGGGGTCTGTCCATCCCCGAGAGACGGTGCGAACAGCAAGCCCGTGCACGGGCCACCGTCGAGCAGACGGAGCGCCGTCCGGAGGACATCGTGAACGTGGCCCTCGACGCGTGGGGGAGCAACCCGGAGGCCCTGGACGGCTGGGAGGCCGCCGCCAAGGCTCGCGTCGCGTCCGTCGGAAGCGAGCGCCGCCGCCATGGCAATCTGGCCCCTGCACTACAACCCTCGTCAAAATTAACCTCAAAAATGTCTGACGTGGTTGAACTGCGTGTCGGAAGATCTGGGGCCGAGTATCGATGGGTGCGGGGTATCTGCATGCGCCGCCCCTCCAATGTCGGTCGACGTCAAACTTTCGGAGGAGGAGGAGGAGGACGAGGAGGGACCATAATAAATTCAGCGTGCGCTATTGCTGTTGCATTACACCTTGCCGCCTCAAGCCTCTTCTTCATAGATCAGCACAAGCGTGTCGTGTAACTGCGGCGAGTGGGGGCCCACGGACTTGCATGTGAGCAAGGACCGTACATTCAGCTTCGGCCGCAGGACCTTGATGGCCGTAATCAGTCAGAGAGAGAATCGTGATTTATACGCTTACCTGGTAGAAGTTAGGAGGAGTTCGTGCGCGCCCTCCGTCATCGCAGCTACTGGGAATGCCACGGTCCAGGATCGCAAAGTGCAAGAACATGTTCAGGCGATAGCCATGCAAACTGATTAAGTTACGCGTGTTTGTGAACACATAAACAGGTTCATAACTATGTGTGTGTATGTACATCTACGTTCACAGGCACCGATTCATAGACATATACATACGCACGTGCATGTACAATGACATGTCCAATAGTTACTTTATAAGTACACGTGCAGATCTATATTACAGATACGTGTACACATACATATTCATATACAGATACATATAGAACTACATATACATAGACTCAGTCAACCCACTTTGTTTACAAGACGCCCCGAAAGTGCTCCAGGAGGACCTCCAAAACGTCCCTGGGAACCCACAGTCGCCAGTTTCTGCCAGAACTTCGAAGGTTTTTTAAGGGTTTTCGCCCAAGGCGGGCCAAGAGGTGCCACACGTGGCCCCGAGACGGCCCAAGAGGCCTTCAACAAAAAACCAAACACGGCTTCAGAGAGCCGTAGCACTCGCCCGGGGCCGCGGGGGAGGGCCAGAAGCGCCCGCAGCTCTCCAGAACGACTCGGGACGGAGAGTGCGCCCCAGGCTGTTCGGCCTGGCCGTCGGGCAGCTCCCGGAGCGCCCGCGGATATCCAGAGCGTGCGGACGTTGCCAGTGCGAGGTCTGGGCCGTTTGGGCGGGCCGTCGGGCAGCCCGGGGCGGCATCAAGAGGGCCCAGGAGGCCCCTCAGACGCTCCAAGAGGATCTCCAAAGAGACCCTTGAAAATCCAAATTTACTCCTAACCATATTGTGGTGTTGGATCCTCCTTTTGAAGAGACCGCGCCCCGCGTTACTTTTTCCTCCTCCCCATCCTCCCTCCTCCCATCCTTGCCTCTTCCCTCCGCCTGCACATGCCGGCGCACCCCTGACACAGTTCATGGCCCCAGAGGGAGCTTCACCCAAGGCCCCAGTGCAACCGTTCGCATGCGTCTCCCCCGCCAATTACGGCACACCCCTCACACGACTCGTGGCCCCAATCGAGATAGATCCACCCAAGGCCCCAGTGCCACCGTTCGCGCGCATCTCCCCCCCCGTTACAGCACGCCCCTCACACGTTTCGTGGCCTCATATCATTGGTCCGAAACATACCCTTACCCGGGGTCAGCCAGGGTGAGATGGGCCGCCCGCAGGGTTGGGCGATTGCCATTGTGCCCGATCAGCTTGCCCCGCGCGCCAATGCAGCATCCGCGCGTCAAGACGCAACGGCGCTCACTGGTTGGCTCTCCGATTGCAGCGACAAGCGCTGATTTTGCTCAGGGACTTTGGGGGCATCGTGGCGCGCGTTCAGCTCAAAGCTATATAGGAGTGGCGGCGCCTGTCCATGTTTCTTATAAAGAAAGCAGAAAACGGCATCTCCCCGCTACCCGGGCAACCAATGCGTTTGGGCTTGCCCTGAGAAGCAACGTTGCAACATCGCGCCCCCCAGGGGGCCGCAGCAGCCGCGTCGGGACGGCTCTGGGGGGCATGAGATGTGCTCAAGAGTTGTTGTTGAGCGTGCCGCCACCTCGGCTAGGCACGGGTATGCGCCTGAACCAGCAAACATGACCAGACCTAGGTGGGGCGGTTCTCGGACACCTCGGCTAGGTACTGGTAGGCTTCTGGTTTCCATGACATACCCAGACCTAGTTGGGGTGATTCTCGGAGGGCCGTCCAAGGGGGGCGGCCTTTTGCGACCTCGCCCAGCGCTCGGCCTTGGCCACCCTGTCTAGGCAAGGGTACGGGTATCTATCTCGCACTAGACCGTAGGAGTTCCACCCAAGGCCCCAGTGCCACCGTTCGCATGCGTCTCCCCCTCACAAAACGGCACACCCTTCACACGGTTCGTGCCCCCCCTCTTTCATCTCCTTTGTTTCTCGATACTCGCAGTTGTTGAGGGTTGGATATTTCGCAGGATAATTGTTGGTTTTCTTTGCGGTGTTTGAATGGTTTTAGCGCTCTCGCCTTTTCTGGTTGCTGCGCGCGGGGAGAAGGTGAAACAACACATTCTGCCAACGGACCGGTCTCCATCCGTGTAGCGCCTGACTTGGTTTGAAGAAGACGTGCGTTGAAGACCTACCACCCTCCATCGGCGTACTTGATCGCACGTTTCAGACGACTGAGCGCGGCGCCCGTGACGATGTTCGAATGTTTGACCACCCTGCCACAGTTTGTGTGAGGTTGGCACTGTTTATACCGAAAGTTCGGCGCTTCTTCCTCTTGTGCTATCTTCCTGGTGGTGCTCTTCGTCTTCACTCCGCCGCACCCCCGTGTCGCCGCTTTGCCCCTGTCGACCTTGCTCTCCTCGGGGCAGTGCATGTTCTCTTGCGCTGCTTTTGTAATCGGCCGTTTTATTGCCCCCTCCGCTGTTGGGCCCGCCTACCTCATCCTTCTGCCCCCCCTCGCTCCTACTTTTCCCTCTGCCTCACCGCCCCGCGCCACGAGGCGGTCGTGAGGACGGCGCAGGCCAACGCCTCCAAACACGCTTAGGTGCAGGGAGAGCGCGGTACGTGGCGGATGAGGGGGTTGTCAGGAGGCTGGAGTAGGACGTGGAGGGCAGTCCCGGCGGTCAGGGTGTGTCCGAATCTTGGCTCGTTTGCGTGTCCGTGAGTTTTGGGCACAGGTGTTTGATCGACGTCTCTTTGGTGTGAATCTCAGGACGACATGGACCGTTATGCACGTGTGTGACTCCAGGATTTTCTCGGATCCTGAAGCGCTCCAGGAAGGCCGCGGCACCCGATGCATCGCCTGCACTCGCCAGTTGTCAAAGGTCCCCGAGCTTACCCGTCATCCCCCTTCTGCCGCTTTTGGTGTTTCCTTTTCTCATGTCCTCTCCTCTCCTCCTGTCCTCCCTATCCCGAAAGCCCTACGTCCTCTCGTTCGTAACTCGCCGTCCCCTCCGGTCTCTAACCCCTCTTCCTTCACCCTTACCACCTGAACTCCTCCTCCTCCTCCTCCTCCTCCTCCTCCTTTTTCTCATCATCGTCATCACCATCATCATCATCGACCTCAACTTTTACATCCATCTCCTCATTCTCTCCTCCTCCTCCTCTTCGGACTGTTCTAGCATGTTGGAGTGTCCTTCCCATCAGTCGGCAACCTGTCATCTGTGTGTTTTTATAGTTTCGTGGGGTTCATTTACGAAGCGGTCATATCGTCATCATTCGCATCATTCTCCCGTCTCCCGCCTCCTCCTCCTCCTCCTCCACCGTCTCCTCCTCCCGTGTCTTGCCTACCTCCTCGTGCCTCGTCCGTCTCTTCTCCTTCTCACCAAGGACACGTTCTTTTGACTGACAGGTCTGGGGGGGCCTCGATCGGGGCTGGATGGGCCAATGCCTCCAAAACTGGCGCGCGAAGGCCCAGGGCCCTGCCACCGACACGCTGCAGTGCCTCTGCGTGCAGCTCTGGTGGCAGGAGCTTGCCTTGAGCAGGGGGGGAACGAGATGGGGGAGGGTGCGATGGTCGGGCACACGCTAAACGTGAGGGCAGTGCCCCCCGATTTGGAGACGGAGCGCGCCCCTTCTGTATGGAAACGTGACCCGTCGCTAATCCACGCGTCGTTAATTCATCTTGCTTCGCCTTGCGCTTCCTCGAGATGGGGAGGGCGGGGTGGCCGACCATGACGCCACTGAAGACTGCGATTGTGAGACTGCATCCAAGGATACTCCCCCCCCGCCCAACGGGGGTCGCAGACAGGGCAATATCCCTCGCTGAAGGAGCTCTAAATTGGTGGCCAACTCCATTGGTAATGGAGAGCCGGAGCAGCACGGGGAGTAGGAGGAGTAGGGGGCAAACGATGGGGGAGGTTGAGGATACGGATCAGGAGAAGGAAGAGACAAGTGCACGGAGAAGAAAGTGAAGGGAAAATGAACCGAAGCCTCGGCAGCAGCAGGAAACGGAGAAGTAGGAGGATAATCAAGAGGAGGAGGAGGAGGCGGAGGAGGAGGAGGAGGAGGAGGAGGAGGAGGGGATGGCGAGGAGGGAGGAGGAGGAGAAGGAGAAGGAAGAGGATGGGGGGGGAGGTCGAGGAGAATGATGAGAAGCAGGAGCAGCGGGAACAGGAGCAGACGACGTGCGTGCGTGTGGGCGCATGACACACGTTCGCCGCGCCGTGCACCGAGGCCACGGCTCGCTCTGCGTTGATTGGTCGCCTCGGGACCCCTCTCCTCCTTTCCGGCTCTTGCGGCCCCCTTCGGCCGGGAACCTCCTCCTCCTCCTCCTCCTCCTCCTCCTCCTCCTCCTCCTCCTCCTCCTCCTCCCTCTCCCCTCCTCCTCCCCCTCCTCCTCCTCCTCCTCCCCCCCTCCCTCCTCATCCTCCTCCTCCTCCTCCTCCCCCTCCCCCTCCTCTTCCTCCGGCTCTTGGCCTTTCTCCACTGCTCGCCCCGCTCTCGCCTGCATCGGGTGCAGCTCATTGTGCCGCCTGCCAGCGCTGCCTGGATGCGACGGACCGCGCCAGCCGCCGCCGCGGACTCAACGCGGACGGGCCCGCCGCTGGGCACTCCCTTCGATGGCCTGTGGCGCCAGGTGGCGCCAGACAATCCGGGGTTGGACAGACCTCCTCCTCCCCCTCCCCCTCCTCCTCCTCCTCCTCCTCCTCCTCCCCCTCCTCCTCCTCCTCCTCCTCCTCCTCCTCCTCCTCCTCCTCCTCCTCCTCCTCCTCCTCCGCCCTCGTGGAACTGGCGCGTGGGCGCCAAAAATCCACGGGTCGGGGAACAACACTCCTGAAGGATGAAGCCGGTGCCGCCTCGTTTGCTGGCAGAGCGCGCCGATGTCGCATGGGAACGCGCGCCGATGTCGCAGGAGGGTGATGGGAACTTTCGACAGTCGGGGTTGGACAGGCCTCCTACCCTGACACCTCGATTGAGGAACTGGCCGTCTTCGGTCCGCGAGAGGGCGGCGCGGCCGTCCTTTATTGCGGGTCCGGGTCCGTCGGTGTCGGTCCCAGGCCGTTTTCACTAAGGGGAGGTTTACGAAAGGGAGGTTTGTCCACCGCCGAGACAGTGTTCGAATGCATTCGAATTGTGTTCATGTGTTGTCGTCTTTGTTCATGATTGATAGCCCCATCGCCACCGATTCCTCGTCGTCACAACAGGGCTTCCACCTTGAACAGACCGGTTGTCGTGCATCGAGTGGTGAGGAGCAGGAGCACGGGCCCCCGGACGGAACCGCTGGGGTGGAGTTGCCCACGTGATCCACCCCTCGGCATCGTCGCCGCCGCCCCCCGAAGCCACCTGCCAGCAGCGCCGGCCTGCGATGCCGCGGGGCGGCGGCGACCCGGGGCTCCCCGCGCCGCCCCTGCTGCTCCTCCCTGCGCCACCGCCCCTGCTTCTCCGGAGGCGGGCCAGCCCGGGTCCCAGATCTTCTTGCTGCTGCTGATCCAGCCCCGGCCTCCCATCCTCCCTTCCTCGTCCCCGCTCTCTCTCCCTTACCCCTCCTCCGCATGGTGATGTCCGTGTCCCCTCCCCCCTCCCATCTTCCCTCCTCCCCCTCGCGCTCACCCGTCCTCCTTCCTCGCTGCTACCCCCATCGCCCTTTCTCCTCCATATCCCCCCGCCCCACTAGAAATGAGGATGTAAATGGGAAGATGTGAAAGATCAGGTTTGTCAGATAGCGGAATGGTACCTGGTCAGCGGGAAGATACTTGAAGGCGCGTCTAAGGCGGACACAGGAGCATTGCAGGCTCCTGTGCTCCCGGGCCAACAAGACATCGGACAGGATGGGTGAGGAACATGCAAGGCAGTAGGGAGGGGAACAGACCTACCGTTCGAGTGCCCCTCCTCCCCCTCCATCTACAATTCATCATTGTCCCCACTCCCTCGTCGATCCTCTCTCTTCGCATCCTCCGCCGAGCCTCCTCTCATCTGTTCTCCTCCCGCTCATCCCTGCCCGATCGGTACGAATCAAACCAGGAGATGCGACGACGTGTGGTCCTTTGCAGCGTAGTTGGCCGCTGGGACTTTCACCAGGAATGCTCATTCTGGCCTCCGCCTCCCGAAGGGCTGCAGCCCCCCTCCACAGCCGTGAAAACCTCCGCCGCACCCGGCACCGTGCACAGGAGAAGCCGCTGCAGCGCCTGCTGGCTCGCAGGGCCGACAGGAGCTCGCTGCTCCTCCGCCCCTTTCATCCGCAGGCCCTCCTCCTCCCCCCCCACCTCACCGTCGTCCTCGGCGTCGTCGTTCGCGCTGCCGCGTTCGTTCGTCCGTCGTCGTCGTCGTCGTCGTCGTGTTGTTTGTCGTCTTCGCCGTCGTCGCTCGTCTTCTTCGTCGTCATCGGTGGCCTTTTTTTTATTTTCCCGGACCTCGTGCCCCTCCGCGGGAGCGCGCGAGGCCAGCCTAGAATCCTGGAATCTTCTCTCCACCTCCCCAATCTCTCCCATGGGCCTTTGATGGATTGGGGAGTTGGGATCTCTCTGCCCTTTCGGCGGTGGCGGTTTGGGGCCGAGGGGGGGGTAACGTGCGAAGGGGTCGTGCTGTCTCTTGGCGGATTTCCTCGGGGGGTAGAGGCGAGGTCTGCTCGGCGGGGGCGTGACGCCGCGAAGTGGTCGCGTCTGCGGCGTGATTCCCCGCCGTGGAACCCCCGTTCGTTCTGATCGAGGGTTCGCTCATGCCTGGTCCGGGGGGAGGTTTTAGCAATTAGATCTGTCTTCTCGTGTATCCCTTCCCCCCGTGAGGACCATTATAGGCCTTACCAGTGAGGACCGCCATGAGGCCTCACACCCGTAGCGGTTTCCATCACAGGGGCTGCGGGGGTCTACCCAAATCCTCACGAACCTGGCACCGTAGGTACAGTGCCGAGGGTGGCGGCCCGTCTTCCCAGACTACCATCATAGGGGGATTCGAAGTCCCTAAAGACGGGGCGGGGTGTGCACGATTAGGCATCATAGCCGCTTCAAGTTCCAGGGAGGCATCATGATCTCATCGTTAACACTTCTCATTGGCATTCATTGCATGCGCAGCAGCAGGATGCTCTCCCCTCCTCCTCCTCCTCCTCCTCCTCCTTCTCCTCCTCCTCCTCCTCCTCCTCCTCCTCCTTCTCCTCCTCAGGAGCAACAGCAGCAGCATCATGCTGTTCCTGACAGTCCCTCCTTCTCCCACCTTCCAGACCCTCCCCACCTCCCAGACCCTCCTCCTCCGCAGGCCCTCCTCCGTCCCCCCACACCTCCCAGATCCTCCCCCTCCCCCCTCCTGAAGTGACCCGTTGTTCCTGTGTCCAGGCGGGCGTTCTTGTGTCTTGTCGGGTGTTTTGTGTCTACAGCCGCTGCACTCTCCGGTTGCCATAGATGGTTGCGTCCCTTCGCGCTACTGTGTCATGAGACGACGTCTATGTAGTTTTGAAAATCCTCTTGCAGCTCTGGTAGACACAATGGTGCCTTTGATATTTTGGCGAATGATGCCCTTCTTAAAGTACGTGTCCGTAACCACGTGCGCCTGCACCACCATATCATCCAGTTGTTTGCGGCAAGTCACGGCACCGTGCCAGCCCAGCATTTCGGGTGGCGACTGTCTCCAGGCTTGGGAGAGCCATGATGAGGATGATGGGGGTGATGACGATGATGATCATGATGATGATGGTGATGATGATGCTGATGATGATGATGTTGATGATGAGAATGACAACGATAATGATGATGCTGCTGATGATGATGGTGATGAAGATGGTGGTGGTGATGATGATAGCGATGACGAGAATGATATTGATGGTGATGGCGATGGCTATGATGATGGAGATGATGCTCATGACAACGACGATGACGATGACGGTGACGATGATGATGATGATCATCATGCTGATGATGGTCATGGTGATGATGTTGATGATGATGCTGATGACGGTGATGGTGGTGGTGATAATGATGATGACGATGACGACGACAACGACGACGACGATGACGATGCCGACGACGATGACGATGACGATGACGACGACGACGATGACGATGCCTATAACGACGACGACGATGAGGATGGTAATGAAATGTCCGAGCAAGATGATGATGATGATGATGATGATAGAAACAAAGAAGAATATTACAAAGAATAATGAGGATAATCATATGATGGTGACGATGCCGATGCTGATGATGCTGATGTTGATGCTGTTGCTGATGATGCTGATGTTGATGATGCCGATGCACATGACGGTGTCGATGACGATGAAGTTGACGATGATGATGAGGGGGAGGATGATGATGCTGATGATGATGATGATGATGTTGATGGTGATGATGATGACGGTGATGATGATGATGATGACGATAGTAATGGTGATGACAACGATGATGATGACGGTGGTGTTGATGATGATGGTGGCGGTGGTGATGGTGATGGTAATGCTGATGATGAGGATGACGAGGATTATGAGGATGATGATGAGGATGAGGATGCTGGTAAGAATGCTGATGAGAATGATAATGGTGATGATGACGATGATGACGATGATGACGATGACGATGACGTCGCTGAAGATGACGCCGACGCCGACGCCGACGCCGCCGACGACGACGACGAGGACGACGGTGACGGGGACGGTGACGAGGACGGGGACGGTGACGACAACGACGACGACAACGACCACGATGACGGTGACGGTGATGATGATGATGATGATGATGATGATGATGATGATGATGATGATGATGTTGATGATGATGATGATGATAATGGTGATGATGATGATGGTGATGGTGATGATGATGATGCTGCTGATGGTGATGATAATGATGATGGTGATGATGATGCTGATACGGATGATGATCATGGTATGACGATGACGACGACCACAGTGATGACGATGATTATGTTGATGGTGGTGGTGGTGATGGTAGTGGTGATGATGTTCATTGTGATGATGAATCTCGGTTGGGTTCGTCTTGGGGTTGTTGTGGCCTCCCGTGAGGCAGTCTCGGGGGTCCCTTGGGGCTCTCTTGGGCTGTTCTGGGGTCCTTGGCCGTATGGTGGGTGCCTGGGGGCCATCTTCGGGCCCTCTTACGCCGGCGTGGGTCTCTGTTCGGTCGTCTTGGTGTCCTCTTGGCCGCATGGCGGACGGCGGGGGGCCGTCGCGGGGCCGTCCTGGCGCCGTCGACAGGCCGTCTTGGGGCCGTCTCGGATACGTCTTTGGCCATCGTGGAGTCCTCGTGGGCCATCGTAAGCTGACGGCAGCCCGTAAAGGCGAGAATGCGAAAACAACATCAGGAAACCTCGAAGAAATCAATGATATTGGCTTCGTTCGACCCTGTTGGAGGTCCTCTTGCGGCCGTGTTGGGCCCTCTTGGAGGCATCTTGGGCGTTCTTGAATCAATATTCGCCCGCCTTGGGGCCATCTGAGAGCGTCTTCGAGACATCTTTGACCATCTTGGTGTCCTTGGTTGCCTGCACGGGCCGGCTTGTAAGCTTCGGACGCGTATCCATAGTTTTTGTGCGAGGGATCGTGGCTTGGGAGGCCCTGGAGCGCTTGGGAGCAGCGCCTGTGAATGCGGGAAGTGTACGATCCTCGAGCGGGTGCGCGTGGGATGAGGGGCCTAGGAATTAGCAGCCATGCGGGAAGTGAACAATCCTCGAGCGGGCGCGCATCGAATGAGGGTTAAGGCATCAGTTGCCATGCGGGAAGCGCACCATCCTCGAGCGGGCACGCGTGGAAGTGAGGTTCAGGGATCAGTTGCCATGGTGGAAGTGCACGATCTTCGAGCGGGTACGCGTGGAAAGGGGGATTATGCGGTAGCTGCTTGGTGGAAGTGCACCATTCTCGAGGGGGCACGAGGGATGTGGCCTCGGAAAGGAGGGGCAGTGAACGCAAGAGTCTGCTGGTAAAGGAAGTGGCGGCGTCATATTAGAATTCAAATATTCCTACCAGACAGACCTTGGCATTTGTCCACGACTCGTCGTTATACGCATGAGAGGCATGCGCAACTTACCGACACGGCGAGAGGACGTCACGAAACGACGTTGCCTCACACAACAGCACGTAACAGCAATGTTGCATGCAATGCATGATGGTGGTGGTGGTGGTGGTGTTGCCAATGATGATGGTGGCGAGTGTGACGACGATGCTTGTTAGCATTATGACAATCGCTGCTATGACGATCAATCACATTATTTTCAGTATCAGTATTATTCTAGACGCTCCGCGTAACCCCACCAGCCCATTGAGATGTGACGGATGAGGAGGAGGAGGACAAGGAGGAGGAGGCGGATGAGGAGGAGGAGGAGGAGGAGGAGGAAGAGGGCGAGCAGAAAGGCCAGAGGCCTCTTGGACGCATCTCGTAGTTTCTTCGGATTACTTCGGATGCCTCTTGGGAGCTTCCTGCAGGCCTCCTGGGGCCTCTTGGGGGCCCCGTGACGGTCCAGGGGGCCTATCGTAGCGTCTTGGGTTCCTCGTGGGAGCCTCTTCGGGCCTCTTGGGGGTCTCTTGGGAGTTTCTTAGGGACCTCTTGGAGGAATCTTGGGGGCATCTTGGGGTCTCCTTGGGGCCTCCTGGGCGCCTTTTGGGGCAACCTGGGGGTCCATCGTGGTTGGGGCCATCTTGGAGGAGATCGATCAAAGGAGGGGCGCAGTAAAGTAGCCCCTTCCCCAGGATGCCAAAATGTAGCCAACATCTCGGCAAGCTCAATGATGTTGGCCTTTTTGCCGGCGCCCCTTGGGTGCCTCTGGGGGGCCTCTTGGGGGTCCTTTGGGAGCCTCTTCGGGGCCTCTTGGTGGCCCCTTGGGTGTCTTTTGGGGCCTGCGCACAGCAGGCCATACGCCACCACCCCCGCCGTCCCTGTCAGAAACTATTTAACAGTGATTGCGGGGTAGCCGCGCACGACCCAGACTTAGCCGTGAGGTGCATGCTGAATGTTTGTTTGATAGGGGTGGTTGCCCCGCGCACAGCAGGCAATATGCTGACACCCTCGCCGTCCTTATCAAAAACAAAACAAAGTGCTCGCGGGCCTCACGAAAATGGATCAAGACTTCACCCCAAAGTATACTTTGTATGGTTTGTTTGGCAGGCATGGTGCAGGGAGGGGGGGGGGCGCATCGGGTTGGCCGTGCATGCTCCAAGTGTGGAGGCAGAGTGTGTTTTGTATTGTTTTTGTGACAGGGATGGTGGGCAGGAGTGAG